AGGTAAACAAATGAAATAAATAGGTAAACAAATGAATAAATAGGTAAACAAATGAATAAATAGGTAAACAAATGAATAAATAGGTAAACAAATGAATAAATAGGTAAACAAATAAACAATTAAACAAATGAAAATATTTCTAGAGGTCGAAAAACAGCAGAATCATTCATTTCCTCCAAAAAAAAGACACAAAGTCGACTATTAGCTTCTCTTCCGGCAAAAACATCGAAGCAACGTTCGAACAAAAAACGAACATTTACAAAAAGTATGGAAAAAAATTTTTTAATTTTAATTTTAATTTTTAAAACAATTAAGGCAAAGAAGAAGAAAAGATTTCAAATCTGCAATGTTAAACAATTTAAAAGTAAAAATTTTAAATGTTGAAATCAATTAAAAGGTAAAGTGAAAGAAAAAGTAATTATAATTGTATGCAAAATTATGCATTTATTCGATTTAATAATATTAAAATTCAAAATTAAAGCTTATTAAATAAGGTCTTTCATTGATATTTCTTCTTTTTTTACTATCAGATTCTTATATAACTCACAATTCCTTCGTCTTTTTTAAATATTTCAATGGAAAAAGCTAATAAATTTGTAATTTTAAATAAATATATATGATACATTGGCTTATTTTTTGAAAAGTTAATGCATAATAATATCCAATATCTGGCCATATTACATCGTGTCCAATATCTGGCCATATTACATTGATAGTGTCCAATATCTGGTCACATCACACTGATAGTATTCAATATCTGGTCATATCGCATCGATAGTATATACAGATATTTCTGGCCATATTACATTGATAGGATCCAATATCTGGCCATATTGCATTGATAGTATCCAATATCTGGCCATATTACATTGATAGTATCCAATATCTGGCCATATTACATTGATAGCTTCAATGTTTGAAATGTCCACTTTTTTTTTTTTAATTTTCAAAATTGATGATAAATTTCAAAGTACTATAGAGTATCCTTTTGGCCATCGTCCAAGTAACAGTTTTGGTGGTTATCGTAATCATCATCAGCAACATCAACAGCAGGATCATCATCATCATCATCAACTTGATATGAAAGATCATCTTATCACATTATCATCGAAGTATTCGACTACTGATACATCTACCAATGAAATGAACGATTTTAACTTACCTCAAATGATATTATCATCAAAGAAAAATTTGAAAAGCGAATCAGAAAATGATGATGATAAAATGATTAAAGAAGAGAGAAAGGAGAAAATACAAAAAGCGGTGATAATATAAACATTTCATTTTATTTTTATTTTATTTTATTTTATTTTTTTAATTCTTTGTAATTATATAAAATTAAATTGAAAATTTATTTTGTGGAAAAATTAAAACAAAATTTTGTAAAAATATTTTTTTGCAATTTCATTTCAAAAATTTAGTAAATTTAGATGAAAAATAAATTAAATATTGAATAATTTCAAATTTTTAAATTTAGAAAAAAAAAGAAATGATATTTGAATATCATTTAGCTAACACATTTCTTTTTGCATGCAATAATATTTTCCAAATTTTTTCATCTTCGAGAAATTTTTTTTTTCTTTTTTTTTTTTACATTCATATATTTGTTGGAAAATTTGAATTTGTTAATTTATTCAAATTATATATGTATTTTTTTTTTTTTTTTATAGATAATATCATGGATAAGAAATGTCTTAGCTAAAGGAATTGATGGAATGAAGGAAGATTTTGAACGATTAAATCGAACACCAACTATGGATATTTTTTATGGTTCACTTGAAGATGAAAGGAATCGTTATCGAGTAAATTTTATTAAAATTCTATCATTCTTATATATGTATACGTGTGTATACGTATGTTGTACACGTTTGTGTATACGTATGTATGCATACGTGGTAAACGTGTGTGTGTGTGTGTGTATTTATTATCATTTCAATTTTCTTTTTTACTTTAAAACAAAAAATTCAAACTAATAAATCTGTGATTAAAATGAAAATTATTAAAATTAAAATTAAATCAAAAATTGATTAAAAATTGATTAAAGATTGATTAAATTAAAATTAAGAATTAAAATGAATGCTTTTTTTACATATTTAAATGCAAATTATAAAAAAGAAAAAAATTTTTTGAATATAAATTTAATAAATTTCAAAATTTTCCCATCCTATAAAGTGTAAAATTTTTAATGGTTTTTTTTCTTTTTTTTTGGAAAATTAACAAGATCTTAATTCATCTTTTTTTTCCTTTTGAAACGAAAAATTCAAATTAATGAATTTACGATTTTAAAATTTTAAATAAATTTGTTTTTGTTCTTTTTTAATTTCAATATATTAAACACTAATGATTTTTGTTTTTTTTTTTCTGTTTACCAAAAATTTAATAATTCAAATTATGATTAATTATTCAAATTTTTGTTTACAATTATTTAAAAATTTTCAATTTATTTTAGTTGTTATAAATTGGAAGCTACCATGGAATTTACCAAATGATTTTACAAATTTTACTGCAACAACAAATTTATTCCATACTTATAAAGATCAACATTTCAACTATATTACTACATTATTTATTTTTGCCTATATTTATAAGCAAACATTCGCTATTCCTGGATCTTTCGTCTTGGTTAGTTAAAATATCTCTCCCTCTATTCATCATTTTTCCCTCTCTTCCTTTATGAAATTTTGAATTAAAAAGAGAGAGAGAGGGAGAGAGAGAGAGAGAAGAATAAAGTAAAGGTAATAATAGTAAAGAATAAATAAA